CTTCTTCCACGCCCACCAGTACTGGCCGCAGCTGGTCCTCCTGCGGGAGAAGAGGCTGACCCAGGAACGTCTGCCTGGGGCCAGGGCGACGGCGCGCCGTCTCGGATACACCGCCTTCCTTCCCGAGGCGGTGGCCACGGAGCAGTTTGGCTCGAACGCCACGTCGGGCGGCGTCGCGATCCAGGTGAGGGTCGGGCTCCAGGCCGAGGAGCTGGGCTGGTCGGCTGCGGTCCGCGGGCAGGTGCTGGGGCCTTCTGAGGCGACTTGCTGTGCCCAGGCCTGGAGCGCGTCTTCGATTGGTTCTTCGCGTCGTCGGACCTGGCCACCTGCGCGGCGTCCTGAGTCGAGGTGCCCTCCCGTCCCGCGCGGTTTCATGGGGTGGAGGTCAAAGGTCTGCGGCCCTGCGGGGACGCCCTGGTCCAGGCCTTCACTTTCGGCAAGCGCGGGAAGGTGGCGCAGAAGGAGGTTGCTTGGTCATGGGCTCAGGGTTCGCGCCCGATCTGCCTCTCCGCTGCTTTCGGCGAGCGGGTCGAGGCGGCGGAGGGCACTCTCACGGGCGCCCGCGAGATCGCGCCAGGCGACCTGCCCCGCTACCTTGGGCGTGCGGCACGGCCCAAGTTCAGGCGCATGCCCTTCAGCGCGGTGGCGCAGCGGGGGGCCAAGTTGAAGTACAGCATGCTGATCCGCCGCCTGAGGAGCTGCCTTGCCGTCGCCCTCCAGAGGATTCGGACGGAGCAGGCCAGCAGGTGGCACCCGAACCACTCTTGGAGGCACGTGCAGGAGGCGGCGGCGAGGGCGAAGCTCCTAGACGAGGTGACCCAGGATGCGCCTGGCCTTCGGAGCGAGGCCCTCCCTGGAGCCTCTGACGAAAAGTGGGGCGTCCTCGCCTTCCACGCGGGGGCGATGGGTTACCCCACGGCGACCGCCAAGTTGCAGTCGTGGCTGCTGGTGTCCCAGAGAGGCGATGCCGCCGAAGGCGCGGCAGCTTGGCGCAGCTTGGCCCAGACGGCTGTGGGGAAAGGAGGCCGCCTGGCCCACCGCTTCTCCAAGGCGGCCGCCGCGCCTGTGATCAGGGACGCCGACACTGGGAGGCCGCCCGCCTGCGCGGACGCCGTGGACCAGCTCACGCCCACGTTGCAGCGGCTCTGGCTCCAGGAGGGCGGCTCCCGCGGTGTCGGAGCCCACAGGTGGGGTGTTGGCTCATGGACGCGGCCGCCCATCACCCTGGAGGACCTGCAGCAGGCGTGCAGGCGCTACGGCCCGTCTGTGGGGTTGGGCTGCGACAACTTCCGCCCTCGCCAGCTCCCCCTGCTGCCAGAGGCGCTGCTGCTTCGCTTGATTGACATCCTGTTGGCTTTCGAGGACGGGCCTTCTTCGCTCAGGGGACAGGTGGCGCTCGTGGTTTTCATTCCCAAAGCCGACGGAGGGACGCGGCCCATCGCGCTGCTCCCGCTGGCCCTGCGGCTGTGGCCCCGCCTGAGGCAGCCGTGCTGTGCCCGATGGGGGTCAGACCACAGCTTCCCCGTCTTCTGGGGCCGTGATGGACGAGGCTCGGAGTGCAGCCTGATGCACCAGCAGGAGTCGCGGGCAGCGCATTGGCGGCTGGTGCTGCCGAGGGCGGCGCAGGCGAAGCGGCCGCCTCATCGGCTGAGGGGCCCGCGGCGGCTGGTGGCACCGCGGGCGGAGCGGGATGGATCGCGGAAGGCTTGGCTGGATGCATTCGGCCCCGATGAGGAGAGCCTGCTGAGCTGGGCGGATGCGGCCGACGAGGCCGACTCGAGCGCCAGGGCAAGAAGCGACGCAGGGTTATCGGAGACGGGGGAGACTGAGCCCGCCTGGCCCCAGCCTTGGGGCGCTCAGACCGCGCGAGGGCGTGGGGGCCGAGCTCTGGGCGCTCCTGGCTGCGGAGCGCCTGCCTGCCTCGCCTCGTCCTCCCTCTGCGTCCTTGCCTTTGGAACCCTAGTGGCCGCGGGCCTCTGCGTGTGGGCGTGGAGGTTCCCGCGCCTCGCCTGCCCCGCCGTGCCGCTTGGGGTGCGCTAGCATGTTTGGGGCTTCGCCCGTCGCGTGTTTGCCAGTTGTATATATTCCAGCGCTTCGCGCTGATGCCCCTTGACGGGGGCTCGAGCTGACTGGCCGAGTGGCGCCTCGGGGCCGAGGTGCCCTGGTGGCAGCCCCTTGCGGCTCGTCTGGGCTCTCGGGATCCCCTGAGGCCCGCCCCTGTCTTGGGATGGCCCCTAGGGGCCTCGGCCCCTCAGTGGGGCCTGGGCCCCTCGTGGGCTTCTTTCTGCCTTTATAGGCCCCGCGCTAACACGCGCACACACATATACACACAGACACACACACACACAGACACACACACAGACACACACAGACACACACAGACACACACACACACAGACACACACAGACACACACACACAGACACACACACAGACACACAGACACACACAGACACACACAGGCACACACACACAGACACACACACACACAGACACACACACACAGACACACAGACACACAGACACACACACACACAGACACACACAGACACACACACACAGACACACACACAGACACACACACACAGACACACACACACACACACAGACACACACAGACACACACAGACACACACAAACACACACACAGACACACAGACACACACAGACACACACACAGACACACACACAGACACACACACAGACACACACACAGACACACAGACACACACACACACACAGACACACACACAGACACACACACAGACACACACACAGACACACACAGACACACACACAGACACACACAGGCACACACAGACACACACAGACACACACAGACACACACACAGACACACACAGACACACACAGACACACACAGACACACACACAAACACACACAGTCACAGAGACACAGAGACACAGACACAGAGACACAGAGACACAGAGACACAGAGACACAGAGACACAGAGACACAGAGGCACAGAGACACAGACACAGACACAGACACAGACACACACACACACAGAGTGAATCGTCGATTCCCCAGAAGATATGGGAAATCGGGCCTGTCCCTCCAGAGGAGGAGAATCCGTGAGGGCTTCGCCCCCTGCCGCCGGCCCCCTCTCTCGGAGAATGGGCCATGGAAGAGCGAAGTCATGAGGCTTTGGCTTCGCCGTGAAGCAGTGTCGGGACCTGTTTGTTTTTCGACCCTGACCCCACGGATCTGCGTCACGGGTGCCACCGGATTTCAAAAATGTAGCACATCCCCTGTGTTTTTGGACCCTGACCCCACGGATCCGCGTTGGGGGGTGCCACCGAATTTCAGAAAAGTGACAAATCCCTTGTGTTTTTGAACCCCGACCCCGCCGATCTGCGTGAGGGGTGCCACCGAATTTCAGACATGTGGCAAATCCCATGTGTTTTTGGACCGTGACCCTGCCGATCTGCGTGAGGGGTGCCGCCGGATTTTAGAAATGTGGCAAATCCTTTGTGTTTTTGTACCTTGACCCCGCCGAGTTGCGTAAACGGTGCCACCGAATGTCAGAAAAGTTGCAAACTCCAGTGTGTTTTTGGATCCTGACCCCGCCGATCTGTGTGAGGGGTGCCACCGAATATCAGAACTATGGCAAATCCCATATGTTTTTGGACCCTGACCCCGCCGATCTGCGTGAGGGGTGCCACCGAATTTCAGACATGTGGCAAATCCCATGTGTTTTTGGACCCTGACCCCGCCGATCTGTGTAAACGGTGCCACCGAATTTCAGACATGTGGCAACTCCAATGTGTTTTTGGACCCTGACCCCGCCGATTTGCGTGAGGGGTGCCACCGAATTTCAGAAGTGTGGCAAATCCCGTGTGTTTTTAGACCCTGACCCCGCCGATCTGCCTGAGGGGTGACAATTTTTACCCACCCCAGCAGTTCAAAGCATGCCATTTGGGCGTGGTAAAAATTCACGTTTTGGGCCTCCCCCCTTCGCGTGGTCCATCAACAAGGAACAGTAAGCAGCAAGAAGTCAACAAGGAACAGTAAGCAGTAAGAAGCAGAACTGTAACAGTGGAAACTGGACGCTGCAACTGGTACAAGAAACTTCGAAGCTTAGCCCTACAGCCTGGTGGCTCCACAAGGGGGCCGACGGATTCAAAAACGGTCCAGAAATAATATGGGGATTGCTTTTTGGGACTATTTGGGACCACAAGTGGTCCAGAAATCTTTACTCATGATTTTTGTTGTTGGGGTATCTTTCATGCTTTGTCCGAAAGCCCCCTGTAGGGGGACATGCCCGACCTAAACGTAGGGCCAGGAGCTTCGGCTCAGCGAGTCGCCTCGCCGGTTCTGGCCCACGACGCTTCGGCGCGACACGCCCACCTCATCCTGGTCCTCAAGCGTCATCGCCCCGGGTGTCTCTCCCAGCCTCTCGCCCCACGGAGCGGAGCGACACGCCATGTATCTGCCCGCAGGGCACAGCGTGTCGCCAGGGCCGCCGCCGCGACACGCTGAGTAAGAGCTCCCAACCGCAAACTGTCGGAGGTCCGCGCGGGTTCCTCGGATCGGCGCGCGGCCCGCCTCCCCGAGGCACAGGAGGGACCAGCGCCGATCCGAGATTCCGCGCGGACCTCCGAGAGATTATGTTGTGCTGCTCGTCCTTCTTCCACCAGCTGCCCTCCGGCGGGGCACTGCTGCCCCCCGACCTGGCCGTCGAGTGGTTCGCGCAGCTGTGGAGAGGCTCGGGTCGGGTGAAAGGAGGAGGGATGCTGGGAAAGGGGGGTTACGGAATCTGGATGTTCTCGCCGATGCAGTGGCACCTCCGGCGCTAGGAGGCGCCGGGAAACCCGGCTGCGTGAGCTGATTCGCTATCCCTCCCTTCCCTCACCCCCCTGCTCGTCCGACGCGGCAGGCATCGAGTACTGGCTCCTGTGCAGCTTCCAGGCGGTCACCGAGCCCGTCGCGACCTGGGAGCTGCCTCGGAGCGCCGACGGCGGCGGCCAGGGCGGCGTGATGCGCGCGGACGTGCTGAGGACTTCACCGCTAGTGGTGGCGGTGCACGCATTGGCAACGCCCGAGGACTCAAGGAGGGGGCAGAAATCGGCCCAACACAACAGAAACGCTAGTTTTCATTACGGTATGGGAAAGGGTTAAGGAATGAAGGGGAAGAGGAGAACCCATGAGACGTGGGGAAATATCATCATCATCAGCATCGACAGCATCAGCAGCAACAGCATCGTCATCATCATCACCATCACCACCATCACCATCATCATCATCATCATCACCATCATCACCATCACAACCACCACCATTATACCTGCACCTGCCCTCCCACACCGTCCCACTTGCGCCGGTTTGTTTTATGTCTTCCTGGCCCTCTTCCCGAGGAGTGCGCCAGCCTGAGGCGTGAGGCGGCCGGCGACCTCGGGCGGGCCCCCGTCAGCGGGGGCGCCTCCCGCGACAGGCGTGCCCTGTCGAAGGGGCTCTACCCGGCGGAGGGTCCCGGCGGTGCCAACGACACCGTCACGAGGCTCGCCGACCGTTTCTTCGAGGCGCCGAGGAAGAAGCAAGCATGCAGTCGATTTGCATAGCAAGGACGAGCAGTTTCCCGAGGTTGCACCGCAGCATGCTGCCCCGTCGGCCCAGCCTTGGCCGCTTTCGCTGGCCTTGCCCCGCTCGCAGAGTGTCGACATGGCCTTCCAAGGCCCTTGCATCCTTATTGTGCGTCCTTATTCCACATATTGACTGTACACGTTTGATGGTCCTTGCGGGTTTCTTTGCCCCGCGCTGGACCCTCCTGGTGGCGCCTCCTCCGTCGCTGGCGCGCTCCGCACGCCATGAAGGGGGGTCCAGCGCCGATCCAAGAAATCCGAGTGGAGCTCCGAAAGTTTGTGTCTATGTGAGGATTCGTTCCTGTAGAGGTGGCTCGGCAGCTGACAGGCTACGAGCTTCACCGAGAGGGCCAGGAGCCAGCGCAGTGGCTAGTCTACAAGCCCGGCTACGAATACCGCCCCCACTGTGACGGCGACTGCGGTGAGCCCAGCGTCGTCTTCGGGGACCGAATGGCGACATCGTTGCTGTACTGCGCGGTGGCCGACGAGGGTGGCGGCACGGTGTTTACGACCGACGGCTTGAAGGTCGAGCCCACGGTGGGCATGATGCTACTGTTCACGTACAACCCGGATCCTCAGGGTCTCTCGCGGCACGCCGCATGCCCTGTGCTCCGCGGGGAAAAAGCGACGGCCACCCAGTGGTACCGGGAAGGGGTCTCCAAGGAGCACGACTACAAGTTCGTCCAGAAGGGCGGCAGGCTGGCGCCACGGAGGAGGCGACGACGCGGCAAGCGGGAGCGCGAGGAGATCTGAGCAGCGCAGCCGTGTGTTCTCCCGAGCCGCCTGTTGCTCCCGTGCCTCTCATCGTCCCCCCGTCCTCTTCCTTCTCCTCCTGTCCTGCGCAGGTCTTTCCTGGTCCTGCCTCGCATCGCGCGATCTCTGCGCATCGTCCTCGCCCTCGTGCTTCAGGCGCGCTCGAGGCAACCCTCTCTCGTCCTGCACCCTCCGCCAATTCCTCCTCCCTGTCCACCCCTCCGCCGCCTCTGCTCGGCGGCGCGCCGAGGGGGAAGACGAGAGGTAGCGGGCGAACAAAAAGTTACAACATAAACTTGTCCGCCGTCGAGGGCGCCTGCCCCCCAGGCAGCTGGGAGGTTGGTGCCCCTACGTGGCACCGTAGGGGCATAAACTTTGCAGCCGCCCGGGGGGGGGGCAGGCGTCCCCGACGGCGGAAAAGCTTGCTTTATACAGTCAACCCGCCCAGTCAGGATGGGCAGCCTTCCCAAGGGCACCTTGCATCCTTGCCCCTTCGGCCCATCCTCGGCCACTCTCGCTGGCCAACCTCGTTCGAAGAGCGTCCACATGGGCCTCCAAGGCCCTTTGCATCCTCACGCGCGCATCCTTATGATACGTGTTGACTGTACCGCTCTTCGCCCCCCTAAGAGAGGGGGCAGGGCTTCTCAGAGGGTGGGCGGGGCCTCGGAGCAGGCTCCGAGGGCCCCTGAGAGGCCCGGGGGCCCTCTGAGAGGCCCGGGGGCCCTCTGCGTCGTCGGGGGAGGCCCTCTCCCCTTGGCGCGCCGCCTGTCTCCTTCCTCCTCCTCCTCCTCCTCCTCCTCCTCCTCCTCCTCCTCCTCCTCCTCCTCCTATTCCTCCTCCTCCCGGACCCCCTCGCCCTCCTCCTCCCTCTCCCCTGCTCCCCCTCGCCCTCCCCATCTCCCCCGCCTCACGAAGTGGAGAGATCAAACCGCAGCGATGTCGAGGTCGAGGTGATGTGTGACCGAAAACTCCTCAACGACCAGCTGCATCGCTGCATATCCTGTGCGGCCCCACCGCAGTGTTGCGGGGGTGCCCCAGAAGACGACGCTGCCGACGACGACGACGGCGACGACGACAAGCGACGACGACGACGACGGCGACGACGACGACGACGACGACGACTGCGACGATGTCGTCGACGACGACGACGACGACGACGACGACGACGACGACGACGACGACGACTACGACGACCGCGACGAAGCCACGCAGGCAAATGCAAGCGAGTCCCAGCGGCGGCGGGCTGCCGCGCGCGCCGCCGCGCGGGGCACCCCGAAGATGGTTCCCCGAAGGCCTGCAGCCTTGCGAGGACTGGCCGCCCACCTGTTGCGATCCGAGACTGTATGCACACCAGGCCGTGGCATCGCCTCGAATGGTTTCGTTTTCAAAACAGCCGAAGACCAGATTCAAGCGAATCGTGGAGATGAAAATGTGCAACTTGCAATGAAGTCGCCAAGCTGGAAAATTCGGTCGTGGCTGACGCGGCGAGTTTGCTCGCTTCCAGAAGCTAGCCTGCCCCGCACTCGCAATAGAGGGTCAGAAGAGCCCCATCCAGTGTACCGAGGCGCGTCAAAGGTGACTCCGTCCCCGCCCAAGCGTGGGACACGTCGCGAATAAGACAAGGCGGTGCAATCTGTGCGATGCATTAAATGGTGTGCAATTGACTACCCTGCACCGCGCCTGACCACCTCCACTGCTCGCGCAAACATCCCACCCTTCCACCTGCAACTTGGTCGCAAGACTTCTTAAGACAAGACCGTGACGGTAGGTACCACAGGGCACTTGGCCACGACACCGACGCCGACGACGACAGCGACAACGACGACGATGGCGCCGCCGACACCGACTACGACGACACCGCCGACGTCGACGTCGACGAAGACGACGACGACGCCGACGCCGACGACGACGACGAAGACGACGACGACGACGTCGCCAACGAAGACGACGACGAGGGAGGAGGGAGGACGACGACGGCGACAACGACGACAACGACGATGGATGAGGGAAGACGGCGACGACGCGAACGACGAAGAAGGAGGAAGGACGACGACGCCGACGACGACAACGACGAGGGAGGAGGGAAGACGAAGACGACGACAACGACGACGACGGCGACGAACTAGGAGGGACGACGACAAGACGCCGACGACGGACGACGACGACGACGACGACGAGAGAGGAGGATAACGACGAGGGAGGAGTGAAGACGACGACGACGACGACGGCGACGAAATAGGAGGGACAACGACGAAACTCCGACGAAGACGACGACGACGACGACCACGGCGACAACGACGACGGAAGCGACGACGACGCCAAGACGACGACGACGACGACGACGAGGAAAGACAGAAGACGACGACGGCGACGACGACGACGAGGGAAGAGGGAGGACGACGACGACGACGACGCAAGAGCGCGCGCGCACGCTTTTATTGAAAATCTGTGTTGCGAAACCTTGGGTTTTTGTAGGTTTTTTGGACGCGCGATTTTAAAATCCTTCCGAAACCGATGGGTTTTGAAGGATTTCGGCGTACGCGCGCGACGACGCGCGCGTCTGCACTTCGTCTCATTTTTTTGCCGAGGATTCTCGCGACGGCACACGCGCAAGGGCGTTCGACAGATTTCGACATGCGCGCGCGACGCCCGTTTGGTAGCATTTTGTGAAAATCTGGAAAAAACCAATGGTTTTCCTTAGATTTCGCAAGAGCTCGCGCGGAAGCTTTTTTTAGCAAATCAGTGTTGCGAAACCATGTGTTTTTGCATGTGTTTTGGAAGCTCGATTGCGAAATCTTTCCGGCACCGAAAGTTTTTGAAGGATTCTGGCATGCGCGCGCGACGGCGCGCGCGTGTGCACTTCGTCCCTTTTTTTTGCAAGGGATTCGTGAACAACTGCTATGCTAGAACAAAAAATGTCACCGCATAGTGTTTTTTTTACCCGGGATCCTCAGGGGGGTGGGAAACCGGCCTGCCTGGGATGGTATGATTTCATATTTAGGATGGACGAGTGAGTATATATATATATATATATATATATATATATATATATATATATATATATATGAAATCATACTATCCCAGGGGGAAGCGTTAAATCCGGGGAGGGGGGGGGGTAGAGTCTATTCTCTTAGGGGAATGCAGCCTAGGTTGTGCAGTATACATGACATGTGGTGCGATCTACGCAGTGGATCAACAATTAATCTTGACCGTCTTGAAGCTGTCCTCTCCACTGCTCGTGCAAACATCCCACCCTCCCACCCGCAACTTGGTCGCAAGACATCTTCAGACAAGACCGTGACGGTAGGTACTGCATGGCACTTGGCCACGACACCGATGCCGACGACGACAGCGACATCGACGACGACGGCGCCGCCGACAGCGACTGCGACGACACCGACGACGTCTCCAATGTTTTCGACGACGACAACGACGACGACGACACCGACGACGACGACAACGACGCCGACGACGACGACGAAGACGACGACGACGTCGCCAACGGAGACGACGACGAGGGAGGAGAAAAAACGACGACGGCGACAACGACGACAACGACGATGGAGGAGGGAAGACGGCGACGACGCCAACGACGAAGAAGGAGGAAGGACGGCGACGCCGACGACGACAACGACGAGGGAGGAGGGAAGACGACGACGATGACAACGACGACGAAGACGACGACGACGGCGACGAAATAGGAGGGACGACGACGAGACGCCGACGACGGACGACGACGACGAGGGAGGAGGATAACGACGAGGGAGGAGTGAAGACCACGACGACGACGACGACGACGACGACGGCGACGAAATAGGAGGGACAACGACGAGACGCCGACGAAGACAACGAGGGAGGAAGGACGACCACGGCGACAACGACGACGGAAACGACGACGACGCCAAGACGACGACAACGACGACGAGGAAAGACAGAAGACGACGACGGCGACGACGACGACGACGACGACGAGGGAGGAGGGAGACGACGACGACGACGACGACGCAAGAGCGCGCGCGCACAATTTTGTTGAAAACCCGTGTTGCGAAACCTTGTGTTTTTGTAGGTTTTTTGGACGCACGATTTCGAAATCCTTCCGAAACCGAAGGTTTTTGAAGGATTTCGGCATACGCCCGCGACGACGCGCGCGTCTGCACTTCGTCCCGTTTTTTGCAGAGGATTCTCGCGACGGCACACGCGCAAGGGCGTTCGACAGATTTCGACATGCGCGCGCGCGAAGCCCGTTTGGTAGCATTTTGTGAAAATCTTGGAAAACCTATGGTTTTCTTAAGATTTCGCAGGAGCTCGCGCGTAAGTTTTTTTTTTTTAAGCAAATCAGTGTTGCGAAACCATGTTTTTTTTTTTTTTTTTTTTGAAATTCAATTTTGAAATCTCTCCGGAACCGAAGGTTTTTGAAGGATTTCGGCATGCGCGCGCCACGACGCGCGCGTGTGCACTTCGTTCCGTTTTTTGCAAGGGATTTGTATGTTACAACAAAACATGTCACCGCATAGTGTTTTTTTTTACAAGGGAACCGCAAGGGGGGGGATACCGGCTTGGCTGGGATGGTATGAATTCATATTTAGGATGGACATGTGGTCAGAATCGTATGTGATTTACAGCACGCGCGGGGGAGTCGATAAGTCCAGGGGGGGGGGGTAGAATCTATTACTCTTATAGAAAGGAGAATTCACCAATGCACCCAGTGAGTTGTCCATCCCACTGCTCGCGCAATCATCCCACCCATCCACCCGTAACTTGGTTTGCGGAACCCACGCGGCGGCGATCGCGATGAGTGCTAGGAGTTGGCTGGTGGCTCGCGCAGCGGCCAGACAGTTTGGCGCGACCGACGCGGCCGTGGTGGCGCTGACCGCTGGGCACTTCCCCGCGGGCACGTCAGTGCGAGTCGGCGACTTGGGTGGGCGCGGTAGTATGGCAATGTTGGCTGCGGTTGGCCCGACGATGATGGTTGCGATAATGGTGGCGATGGTGACAACGATGACGGCGGCGCCGATGCTGATCACGCCGACGACGATGAAGGCGCCCCCGTGTCGGTGATGAAGGTTTTGGAGGGAGTTCGGAAAGCGCTCGCTGCCGACGCGCGAGAGTGGCCCGCATGCGCAAGGACGTTCGAATGATTTCATCGTGCGGCGCGAGGGGCCCGTTTGGCAGAATTTCAGGGAACTTCTGATGTGAGGTTTTCTCAAGACTTCGCAAGAACGCGAGCGCATGCATTTCTGAACGCTGATAGTGCAAAGCCACGTGTGTTGTATGTGTGTTCGGGACACTCGAGTTTACATCGCTACGACACCCAAGGTTTGTTAAATATTCCGGCATGCGCGCGCGACGACGCGCGCGCATTTCGTCCCCACTGTCACAATATATTACTCCAGCAGCGCGCGCGCAATGGTGTTCGAACGATTCTGGCACGCGCGCGCGAAAGGCCCGTTAAGTAGCATTTTGCGAAAATGATGGGGCACTTATGGTTCTCATGGGAAGTCGCTAGAGCCCGATCGCAAATTTTCGTTGAACGCTCCTGTTGCTAAGCCATGTGATATATATATATATATATATATATATATATATATGTGTGTGCTCGGGGCACTCGATTCTGACATCCTTACGACACCTGATTTTTTGAAGGATTCCGGCATGCGCTCGCGACGACGCGCGCGTGTCCACCTCGCCCATTTGTTGCAATGGATCCTTGAACATGGATGATTTGTAATAATCGAGTGCCCGCGCATAGTGTTCATTGGCGGAATATGAGGGTGGATATGGACGATGGGGCAAAACCATATGCACATTGTAATACGAAAAAGAGGGTTCGTCAATTCTGGAATGGTGGGTTGATCGTGAGATTATCTGGGACATGAAAATAGACGTGGAGCATTTTACGTGGTGCAATCGATGTGCTGCAAGATTTGCGATGCAGTTGACAAGCTCAAATTTGTTCTCTTGTGCAAACTACGCGGTGCGATCTATGCCCAGACGACGGGCGACGGGCGGCGATGAGGCGGCGACGGGGCGGCGACGGCGACCACGGAACCGCCAGACCAATCTCCCAGGCCCAGACGATGGGAGGCGACGAGGCGGCGACGGGGCGGCGACGGCGACCGCGGAGTCGCCAGACCGATTCACAGGCCCTACAGGAGGAGTCTTCAAAAATGGTCGAAAAAATAGTTAGGGGACGATTTTTGGTGTATTTTCTGGCTCTTTCGGCGTATTTTTGGGGGTAGTTTTGATTCTGTGGTCCAAACTCCGCCTGCAGGGGGACGGGCCCGACCTAAGCTCAGAACAGAGTGAAAACCAGTAATTGGGGAGCCGTGCGCTTTTGGAGTTCCGCGCGGATTTCTTGGATCGCCGATCGGTGCTGGGCCCCCCCTGGCGCGCTCCGCGCGCCAGAGAAGGAGGCCCAGCGCCAGAGGAGCCGCATTCCCTATGTCGCGGACCTGCCGCGCTAGTCTGCCCCGGCCGTTGGGCCCGGTCCTCCGAAGACGCCCCCCAGTCATGTCTCGCCGTGGAGCACACAGGTCCTCAAGACATTGGGTCCTGAGGGATCTTTGCCTCCTTCGAAAGAGATTCCTTCCAGGGGGCTCGTGTCCTTCTTGGTGAAGGCCCTCCCTCAAAGGAAGAACACGTTATATACACATGAATTCTCGGAGCTCCGAAAGATTAGGTTTGTGTATTTGTGTATTATTGTTCCTCTATCGCGTACCCATGAGATGCTGGTTTCGTATTGTCTTCGTACTGGGCGTTTTCACCCCGGTTCGTGCTTCTGGACCCACAGATCGATTTGGCCCGAGAAGTGCTGCAGAAAGCTGGGGTCCAGGGGTCCGGTCGTGTTTTCTTTCCGCGACGTCGCTTCCCCAGATCGGCGCACCCTCGGGCTCATGCAAAAAAGGCCTCCTCCTCCTCCTCTTTCTCTTTCTCTTTCTCCTCCTCCTCCTCCTCCTCCTCCTCCTCCTCCTCCTCCTCCTCCCTCTCCTCATCCTCCTCCTCCTCCTCCTCCAACCCGAACTCGGCGCGTCTTCCCATGCGCTCGCTGCTCCTCCATCCTTCTCCTCCTCGTCTTCCTCCACGTCTTTTTCCCCCCTCCCCCCCCCCCCGTCCTGCCCTGGTTCCCTTCCTTCCCTCTTTCCCTCCTTCCCACCCCCCCCGTCCCGGGCACTCCGAGGCAAGACCTGGCGACCGTGACCCACGCAGGACGGCGTTCTTTTTTGGCTGCTGCAGGCCTGCGGCCTGCGGGGGGGGAGAGGCGGTCGGCCGAGGTCGGCCCCGTCGTCGAGGTCGCCCCGCGGCGCTCCGCCCCGGGGGTCAGTTTGGTGGGGGCCTCTCGGTGAGCCTTCTTGGGAGTCCCTTCGGGCCTTCTGGTGGCCTCTTCGGGGGCCTCCTGCGGCGCGGTCTCTCGAGGGCCTCTTGGGGAGGCCTCTTGGAGCCCCTTGGGGTCCTCTTGGGGCCCTCTTGGGGCCTCTTAAGGGCCTCTTGGGGTCTCTCGAGGGCCTCTTGGGGGGCCTCTTGAGGGTCCTCTCGGGGCCCTCTTGCGAGAGGCGGTCGGCCGAGAGGTCGGCCCCGCCGTCGAGGCCGCCCCGCGGCGCCTCGCCCCCCGCGGCCCTCCTGCGCCCCGCGGTCCCGGGGGCTGCCGCTCGGCCAGTGGCCGTCTCCTCCCGCGGCCGCGTCTCCGTCGGCGGAGCCTGCCCGCCTGCCTGCCTGCCTGTCGGTCGGCGCCGGTCGGTGGGTCTGTCGGTCGGTCGGTGGGTCGGTCGGTCAGTGTGTCGGTCTGCCTCGGTCTCGGTCTCTGTCTCTCTGTCTCTCTCTCTCTCTCTGTCTCTCTCTCTCTCTCTCGCCGTTCCTCTCTCTTATCCTCTGTGCCTCTCCCTGTGTATGGCTCTCTCTCTCTCTCTCTCTTTCTCTCTCTCTCTCTATCTCTCTCTCTCTTTCCCTGCAATGTGTAAATATATTTAATATATATAATATATATATATATATATATATATAAATATATAAAAAGTGTGTACATCTATATATATATATATATATATATATATATATACAAGACTGCATTGGCGCTTCGCGCCATTCACCTTGGTCCTGGAAGTTTGGTGCGCAGGCGGAATAGCAGGAAGGCCAAGCCGACAATTTAGCGATAACTCTTTGTTGTCTTTTCCAGTATCGCCGCCAGAACAATGTTATTATAATCTTTTCGCTCATTCCGCCGGCCCATATTGTCGCACCGTTGTGGGCTAGCCGAGTTTTGGGGCCTCTTGGGGGCCGTTTTGGGGCCTCTTGGGGCCTCTTTTGGGCCTCTTGGGCGCCTCTTGGGGCGTCTTGGGGGCCTCTTGGGGGCCTCTTGGGGCCTTTTTGGGGCCTCCTGGGCGCCTTCTGGGGCGGAGGGCTCGATTTTTCAGTTCTCGGTTCCCCTCTTGAGCCCCTCTTGGGCCCGTCTTGGGGCCTCTTGGTCCGTCTTGGGCGGCACTTGGGCCGTCTTGGGGGCCCTCCTGGGCCGTTCCGGGGCCGTCTTGGGAGCCTCGTGGGCCGTCTTGGAGCGGTCTTGGGGGCCTCTTGGGCCGTCTTGGAGCGTCCGGAAGCCGAAAAAGCCAGAACGCAAAAAACATAGAAAAAAACAATGAAAATCAACGATTTTGGCCTCTTGGGGCCCTCTTCGGAGGCCTCTTGGAAGGCCCTTGGGGCGTCTTGGAGGCCTCTTGGGCTGTCTTGGGGCCCTGTTGGGCGTCTTCGGGCGATCTTTGGCCGTCTCGGGGCCCTCTTGGACCGTCTTGGAGGCTTCTTGGGGACCTCTTGGCCCGTCCTGGGGCCCTGTAACAGAACTCCGGCCAGAACAATGTTATTCGTTACCCTTCATTTTCGCCATACCCTGCGCAGTCTCCCCATCCTCCGCAGTTCTTTTTTGCGGAGGCTCCTCCTTGGAGAGCCTCTGGGAGCCTCGCAAAAGTTATTTCAGGCTTTCTTAAGGCCTTCTGGGCGCCTCCTGGGCGTATTCTGGGGGCCTCTGGGGGCTTTCTCGGGCCACCCTGCCTCCAACCGCGGTCTCCCTGAACGACCGGGTCACGATTTGGAATGCTTCGGAGGGTGTCTTGGGGCCATCTTGGGCCGCCATGGGGCTCTCTGAGGGCCATCTTGGACCCGTGTTGTGCCGTTTTGGGGCTCTCTTGGATTGCCCGGAAGCCCTTTCGGATGGTTGTGGGGCGATTTTGGAGCCTCCCAGGCGGCCTCGGACGCCCAGAAGACCGCCGTCTTGGAGCGTCGGGAAGCCGAAAAGAGGAGAACCCCCAAATTCACCAAAAACCACCAAAAATCAATGATGTTTGCCCCTTGGGGCCTTCTTGGGAGTGCTCTTGGAGGAGGCCTCTTTGGGACCGTCCTGGGGGCCTCTCGGGCCATCTGGAGGTCACGTCGGCCACTCTTGGAGCGCTCTTGTGCTGTCTTGGGGGTCTCTGGGACGTCTCCGATGACCTCCCTGACCGCCTTAGGTGTGCTGGGAAGGCTTGGCAAAACGCCCTGCGAGGCCCGGGGGGCCGCTTCGAGGCCCGTCCAGAGGGTCCCAGAGCCCCAGATCCTGGGAGTCCGTTTTTTTGGGGGGGGTGACCCCTTTCGCGTTCCGCCCGGATTGTAAAAAAATATGAAAGAGAAAAGGTTGTGCAATCTACGTGGTGCAACCCATGTTGTGCCATATATGTGATACAGCCTATGCTGTGCAATGTGTGTGTGTGTGTGGGACAGCACATGTAGCGCAACATATGTGGTTCAACAAACGTTGTGCAACATACGTGGTGCAATTTATGTTGCACAATATTCGTGGTGCAGTTTCCTGCGGTGCAATAGAAGTGGAGCAACCCGAGACGTGCAATTTACGCGGTGCATCGTCTCTTGTGCAGTCTATGTTGTGCAATATAAGTGTTGCAATATAGGTTGTGCTATCTACGCTGTGCAATACAGGTTGTGCATCCTATGTGGTGCAAGTACTTTCTGTTCGCAGTGTGGGTTGTCCACTCCACTGCTCGTGCAATCATCCCACGCACCCACACGCAACGCGGTATGCAAAACCCATGCGGCGGCGATTGCGATGAGTGCTCGAAGTTGGCTGGTGCATCTTTGCGGCCGCGCTAGCCTTCGCATGCTCGCGCGCGCAGCGGCCAGCTAGTTAGGCGCGACCGACGCGGCTGCCGTGGCGCTGACCGCCGGGCACCCCCCAGCGCGCGCTTCAGTGCGAACCGGCGACTAAGGCGGGCGCGGTATCATGGCAACGTCGACAACGGCAGACGCGATGCTGATGGTAATGGAGGATGACGATTCATAAATGACTGGGGGTCGTGTTCACGCGGCGGCGCCCGGTATGACGATTAGAAAAAAAAAACGGGCCGCGGGCTGGAAAACTATTTTTTAATCGTTCTCCTCCAGTCAGAAAATTGTGCTGAAATAGCAGAAAGCTATTTTTTTAATCGTTCTCCCCCCTTTTTCTTATTAATCGTCATCCCGCAGAAGTGCTGCTGGTGGCGATGAGGACAACGCAGACGACGGACCCACGAGGCCCCGCGAGGCCCCCTCCTGCTTGCTTCCCCAGCGGAGCCGGGCACGCGCGCGCGCGGCGCTCCAGGGAGGGCCTCGCCTCCGAGGGCCGAAGGGATTGGCGCGGCTTCCTCGGCGGCAGGCCGGCGGCAGGCGGCGCAGGCAGAACGAAGGTGGTTCCTCGGCTCAGAGTACAGTCGGGGCCCTGAAGAAGGAACCCTTTTCGTTGGGGAGGGGCTCCGCGTTCCTTAAGTGTTTCACAGCTTGCCTCAGGCTTTCCTCATGTTACACATGTTTTCGATGGGAAATCGAAGGTTAACTTATCGAACAAAAATTGGGATCGTTCCTTATTCAGGGTTCCTCGGCTCAGAGTATAAAACGGCGCGAAGACCGGGACAAAATCGGATCGGGATAGCTCGAGATCTCCGAGAATCGGCGGGTTTGGAGGAGATGTATTGGGCGCCGCGGCCGCTCTGAGAGCGTTCCGGGACGCTCTGAGAGCGCTCCGGAACGCTCTGGGGCGATTCATTCCGATCCTAGCCCTGTTTTAGAGTAAGAGTGGCCCTTCGACGGAGTGACCTCTGTTGCGGTCCCCCCAGCACTGGGCTACACGCTCGGGTTTGGCCCCCCCGAGGCCCCCCGAAGCCGCGCACCAAAGGTCACTCTTGCCCAGGGTCGCTCTTGCGTGTAGCCGAGCTCCCCTGGCGGACGGCAGCGGAAGCAAGGCGTGCGCCCACAAGAGATGGCGACTGTGCCGGGGCTCGGGGTTCCTGGAACCTGACGTGGCTGGCCTGGGCGAGAACTGGATACAGCCGGGCCGAGGTATAGGATCGAGGTCGGCTCGGGGAGGGTGCCTAATTAGTGCTCTTCATGCCTGTTGGATGCCTTTGCGCATCCTGGGGGAAGGTGCCCTTGCATGTTCTGTTGTATGTTCTGCCGACGGAGGGCCCCATGTTCTTGAAGATGGTCTTCTCCAGCGCTCGGCCCTTCCATGGCCGGGTAGGCTGGGCTTGCGCACGTGTGCGCAGCGCGCGGCTTCTGGATGTGCCACGGGTTGGCTGCTCGCTCATGCGGCTGGGCCGAGGTATGAGATCGAGGTCGGCTCGGGGAGGGTACCCTCATGCTCTTCGTCCTTGTTGGATGTTCGTGTGCATCCTCGGGGAGGGTACCCTCGAACGATCTTATGGTTGGGGGCGTCTTGGCCGGCGGAGGGTCTCATGTTCCTGAAGGGTGTTATTCAGTCGTGGGTCCGACTGCAGTTAGCCTCGGCGAGAATTGGATACGAGCGTGGCCGGATGTCTCTCCTGTGCTCGGCCCCTCCATGGCCGGGTAAGCGTGGGCTTGCGCATGCGTATGCAGCGCGTGGCCTCTGGATGTGCCACATGGTGGTCGCTCGCTCGATAGACCTCTTGCTCCACGCGGCCGTCCAGCCCTCGCGCCGAAGACCGCCAGAGAGGCCGCCCGAAGACCGCCGAAGACCCCCGCGAGGCCGATGAGCAACGAGGAGTCCATGGCCGAATGCGCAGCGCGTGCGCACCTTGGCGTGCGCGCTCCCCGCCTCCCGCTGCCTCGCGCCGCCCCGCCGCGCCGCGCAGGGCTGCAAAGAGAGCTCGCAGGGTACCCTGGCCGCTCGCTGGCGCTGCGGCTCCGGGCGGGCCGCCGCCGATTCCCGCCTGCCCACAGCCTCTCTGCGACCACGTGGGAGCCCCCTGCCCCTGCGGGTCCCGCCGACGCTGGGGCAACTGTCGGGCACCACTGCTGCTGGGGTGCAGCTGGCTGCAGGCGTCCTTCGATGCCTGCGCCCCAGCCGGCGCATCTGAAGTCTGACCCGCAGGAGGAGGAGGAGGAGGAGGCGGAGGAGGCGGAGGAGGCGGAGGAGGCGGAGGAGAGGAGGAGGAGGAGGAGGAGGAGGCGGAGGAGGAGGAGGAGGAGGAGGAGGAGGAGGAGGAGGAGGAGGAGGAGGGGGAGGAGGAGGAGGAGGAGGCGACACACCACCGCCATCCCGAGGCCAGGAGCGTCCCCGGCCCTGGGATGGTGTGCAGTGGACGTGCCAGAAGAGAAGAGACCGGCCTGCCAGCAGGTGCTCCAGGCAGATCCCTGCTTCCCCGAATACCTCCCCACACCAAGCGGAGCTGATGGGCTTCCCGCGAAGTTCAAGGTCGACCGAACACAACAAGACGCCGACGGGTCGGGTGTTGCCCCGGGTGCCCCTCGCACAAGTTGCCCCGAAGGCTTCCAAGGAGGACCTCGCGGACTTCACTCCCACCGCGGCGCCCAGGAGCCCCCGCGGGCCCCCACGGGCCACGACAAGGTGGGGACGCTCGGGGCCAGGAACATGTTCCCTCTCCTCCGACGTCGCAATTCGCCCGTTGTGTGGCAGCCGGGGATCTCGACGCTCTCCCCGTGGCCGGAGCCTCATCCAGAGCTGATCTCTTGGCAGCCCAGGTGTTGGCAAGCGGCCCCCAGACAAGGCCAATCATGTGCCCTGTTGCCCCACAGCACACCCCAAGGTCCGCCATCGCGAAAAGTTGAAGCCTCGCGCAAAAGCTGCGACCAGAACCCTAGACTCATGTTGTTCCCATCTGACTTATAGGACCACATCCCAGAAATAATTTCGAGCACCCGGAAAAGTGTCAAAAGAGTGTCGAAGCAGTGTCAAAACAGTGTCGGGCGAGTGTCTCCCAGGGCCCGGCGCGCGAAAACTCTTGAGTTGCGGTACTTTTCTTGGCGCTCGAAAATCTTTCTGGCAGTCAAGGCTAAAGTAGGTTGGACAGTACATGGACATCATATTCGAACCCTGTGGCCCAAGATGTCCCCCAGACCCCCCGAAATTAATAATGATGGCGTGGCGACGGGGGGGGCGTGAGTGGACAGAAATACTCGAACCCCAAAGCACCGCTTTTACTGAGATCAACACTGACGTCGGGGGCGCGGGGGTGATTTCGAATCTCCCTCAAATGTGTAAGGGTTCGAATCGATTGTCCATGTACGGGAGCACCATAGCCCTGGGCCCTATCCTCCCGCGTCCTCTCTCAAGCCGCGCCGATCTTCGAGGGCCCCTGGGCCCGAGATCCTCGGGCGCGCACGCGCCCGCTGCGCACGTGCAGCAGGCTGCGGCGCCAGGCTCTCGGGGGGAACGCCCTGCCGCCGCCTGCTGCGAGGGCCTCGCGGCTGGCGCCGCCGGCCCTGAAGGACGACGACGACGACGACGACGACGACGACGACGACGACGACGACGACGACGACGACGACGACGACGACGACGACGACGGCGACGACGACGACGACGACGACGACGACGACGACGACGACGACGACGCCGATCTCAGGGAACCACTTGCCGCCATGCTTTTTCCTGGGCGGCCCCGAACTCTGAGGGCTGGGCACCTGCGCATGGGGCTGGGACGAGGATAAATCCGTTCCAGCGCGTTCCAGAACGCTCTCACAGCGTTCGGGGACGCTCCGAGAAGGCCGCGGCGCCCGAGGCAGCCTCCAAGCCCGCCGGTTCTCAAAAACTTCCCTATGGCGGGATACGATTTTTCGTAGCGGCTCTGCCCTCGTCTCCCCAGACATGCGACGTCCTGTTCAGGACGGGGCCCCCAGAAGTCCTGACCCTTTCCCAGGGACCGGTTTCTCATCCTGAATGGTTTTTTGACGGTCCCGAGGCCCCGCGAGGGCCCCCAGGGGCCGAAAATAGCGAAAAACGGGCCGCCCTGATTTTTTGTTACGGCGCGATCATGCCTGGGTCGCTACTTGTGGGCGGCCGACCCCGAACTCGGAGGGCTGGGCTTAAGATGTTCCAACCTACGTTAGCCTTGATCACCAGAAAGAACTTCGAGCACCAGAGAAGTACCCCAAACTCGAGGGTTTTCACGTGTCGGGCCCTGGGAGACACTCGTCCGACACTGCTTCGACCCCACTCCGACACTCTTTCGACTCTTTTTGCTGGTGCTCGAAATGATTTCTGGGATGTGGTCCTTAAGTACGATGGGAGCAACATAAGGCTGGGCACCTCTCTCGGCGTCACCCCAACATACTTATACTATGTATGCGTCGCCCCCCCAGGGGCGACGCGCGCACCGAGAAATCTTCTCTAGTATATGCGTCGCGGCGGGCGCTTTCTGGCCACAGCGCTCGGGAAACACGATGTGCTACAAGAGGGGTATGTACGACATCTTCGGGCCGGACGCGCGCCTCCGAGGAGGACATATCGTACTAGTATGTCTCTGGGCGCCCCACCGAGCTCGGAGGGCTGGGCACCTCTCGCCCGCTCGGGCGCAGCGCCGCCCGCCGCCCGCCCCTGGGGCGCCCTCCGCCGCGGAGGGCCGGCCGGCTGCGGAGCGCCCTGGAGGCGCCGCCGGGGGCCGCGGCGGGGGCGCCCGTGCTGGCGGTGGAGCTGGGCCTCGGCTGCGGGCTGCGGGAGCCCCGGCCTCGGAGGAGGGAAGCCCAGGCAGGATCGCGTCGTTAAAAAGAACAAATCCGGACCAGGGGGGGGTGGGATATATGTTCGGCCTCGGGAGGCCCTCGCCGGGCCTCGGGGCCGTCAAGAAACGGCTCAGGACGAAAAACCGGCCCCGGGGAAAGGGTCGGGACTTCCAGGGACGCCGTCCTGAAAAAATCAGGACGTTGCATGTCTGGGTCCCAAATCCCTTATGAATCGCCCCCCCCCAAAAAAGACCGGACCCCCTCCAAATATGCGACCTACTCTTCCGGACCCTCTCCCTCTTCGACGGGGCGCCTCAATAAACCGGACCCCCTGAATTCCAATCCAAAGAAAGCGCCCCAAACCGGACCCCCCCAGTTACAAAGGCGCCTTAGAAAACCGGACCCGGGGGACGATTAAAAATTAAAAGGGGATTTGGAGTACCCATACCTCGGTCCTCGGGTCGTTTCTTCTGGGCCTCCTAGATGGGGCCGGAGTAGATGGGGTCGGAGGATCGCGCCGCATCGGCGATGCATCGGCGATGCATCGTCGATGCGGCTCGACGTGGGGCCCAGTTTTCTCCACGCCGACGTCGCCGATGCATCTCCGACGTCACAAGAGCATCGCCGTTGCATCGGCGGTGATGCATGGCGATGCGGCGCGATCCTGCGACCCCATCTGCTCGGACCCCATCTAGGAGGCCTGTATTTTTGTTCCCTCACAGCCTGGGACATTCGGGGGCAACGTTGGGAGTTTTTTGGGGGGTCTCGCGATAACCCAGGATATGTGACTCGCCCCTCTCCCCCCCCAACACGATAACCCCACCCTGTTGGTTGAGCAGGTCCAGACACATCTTTCGGCCCACGGTGCGAAGATTGGGTGATCTGCCGCCCCCCCCCCCGATAACCTGCCAAGCAGTGGCGCAGCGTCCTGGCGTGCCTACAGGCCCACCAAACAATGTTCTAAGAACCGCTTGTGGCTTCTACGAAGTGTTCTTAGAGCATTTCTGGCTGAGACCGTTTTGGTTTCGCACATCGGATTGTGTTATGAGAACATGGTTCTTGTTCAGAGGGCATTTTTTTTTGGTTCCAAGAGATTTTCGTGGTCGGCCTATAGGACTGCCGGGACGGTCGGCCCCTGCTGAAGCCTGGGTTGTCGCCGATCCCAGAAAGACAGCCTTTTAGCCGTTAGGGAGGCAGCCGTCGCCGCTGGTAGCCAGGCCTGTGTGGCGGTCCGGGCGGCGTGCAGCCGCCCGTCGCCGCCGCCGTCGCCTCCCGCCGCCGCCCGCCGCCGCCCGCCGCCGCCCGCCGCCGCCGGCTGCGGGCTGCAGGAGCCCCAAGCTCAAGCAGTGGCGAAGCGTCCGGGCGTGCCTAGGGGCCTACCAAACAATGCTCTAAGAGCCTTTTGTGGCTTCCACGAAATGCTCTGAGAGCAGTTCTGGCCGGGCCTGTCTTGTTGGATCACATCGGGCTTATGTTCTAAGAACATTGCTTCTGTTCTTGGAACGTCTTTGGGTTCCAAGAACATGTCGTGGTAGGCCTATAGGAATGCCGGGACGGTCGGTCCCTGCTCAACCAGCCCGAAACATCGGGGGCCATAACGTCGACCCCCAGAGGACGAGTTCCCATCCCGAGTCGTTTTGGTGACGGCTCCGAGGCCCGTGAAGAGCCTCCGGAGGCCGACCATGGCGAAACGCCTCCCGCCGTGATTTTGTTTCACAGCGCGGGGAGGTCTGGGTTCCCAGGCCCGCTCGGGGCGTGGACAAAATGGAGTATCGCATCACCGATCCCCATCCCCAGCGGCGTGGCCTGGGCCCCGCTGGCCGATTTACCCCCCTGGATGGGGATATAGGTCGTTCTCTTCGGGTTTCGAGGGGTGCACTCCAAATTCAAAAAAGGCGCCTTAAAAAACGGGACCCAGGGGACGATTAACGATCAATTAGGGATTGGAGTATCCCCAACTGGGGTGGTAATTTGGTGGGGGTCTCGAAGGAGATGAAGATGGGGATGGGAATCGCTTAAAAACGATACCCCAAAAAAATGGCGGTGCCAGGTCTGTCGCGGCATCTTCGGCCTGTGTAGGGGCCTGGGCCAGGCCTCGGATCGTCAAGGGACGACTCGGGAGGCAGAAGACGGTCCAGGGTGAAGTCGGGCGTGTCCTTCTCCAGGAGGAATATTCAAAAATAGTCAAAAAATAGTCTGGTGACGATTCTTTGGGTAACTTATCCTGGCTAAGGACCCAACCATATGCAATTGTGAATAACGCTTTGTGGGTGCCGCTTTCGGTGGGGCTCCCTATGGGGCCACGAAAGGCGTGCCACGAAACGCTGTCCTGGGCGTACGGGACGCATGCGGGCGGTAGCACTGGGGCCTTTGGTGGAGCTCCCTATGGAGCCACGAAGCGCTGTCCTGGGCGTACGGGACGCATGCGGGCGGTAGCACTGGGGCCTTCGGTGGAGCTCCCTATGGGGCCACGAAACGCTGTCCTGGGCCCTCGGCGACGAAACGTGTGAGGGGTGTGCCGAAATGGGTGCGGTGCCGCCATGCGAACGCAGCCACTGGGGCTCTCGGTGGAGCTCCCTATGGGGCCACGAAACGTGTGAGGGGTGTGCCGAAATGGGTGCGGTGCCGCCATGCCAACGCAGCCACTGGGGCCCTCGGTGGAGCTCCCTACGGTGTTGGCGGAATCGGCGCAGCAGTAATATCAGGAAGTTCCGACGATATATCTCTCTCACCCAACTCGATGAATCTATAACGTAACAGTTGTCACAGCGTCGCTAGCCGTGCTGAAAGGTGTGGCTCCTCGGGCCACGCGAAACAACTGTAAAAGTATGCATATCCCGCCCTTGAGCCAAAGCCACCACAAAGAAGGGCTTCGGGCAGGTATTGCACAGGACTGACTGTTCATAGCTAACACCGGTTATACTCTTCTCAGTCCTGAAGCTACATGTATCGAGACCGCATGAGACTGCGTGTCGAATCAGAAAGAAAAGAATCGTCACACAAAGACTCCAAGGGATCTTTAAAAACCTCCCTCGCCTCCAATGGCGGCCTCCTCGGGCGCGTCTGCGAAAGCGCCCTTGCCATCGCGCTGCCTCCGACGTCCACTTTGGAATATCTCGTCAAAAGTACACTTCCAGCGCTGTGTAGTCAAACATTTTTCCATCACATGCCGAGCCGGATATCCCGGCTTCGTCAAACTACCTGCTAACATAGCCAAACCATTCACCCATCTAAAAGAAACGTCCGTGCGCAAAATCTGCTCCTTAATGCCCCTGGCCTCCTCGCCTGTTCTGAAACTGCGCATACCCAACTGAGGAGACTCTGACTTTAAAATCGCATCGTAAATGCCACGTGAATCTGTAATGAGCATGCCTGGCACGGTCTTGACTGTGTCGTCCAACTTCCAACGAGTCGGCTCAACTCCATGTAACTCTGCCCACATCAATCTAGATAACCACAGCATCTCGTCACCGAACGCGGTCGACTGCGTCTCGTTGTTGTTGGAACCCAAAATCTTACGAGGTAGCTTGAAAGATCTCCATCCAAGTATCGAAACATTTGCCATGCTGCCGTTCGCAAAGTCCGGAGTCGAGAGGCCTGTCACCAGCCCGCCAGTCTTGCTGCCGTCGGGCCTGAGCTTGTCACTAGCATCGGCCCATTGCACCATCCATAAGTCGTGCCAATCGTAGTTCTCGAACTGGTGAAACTTGATCACCTGCGAGGCTGATTTACGCATATCCTTGACAACCTTGTTGGCGTTCACCAGGTCACTGATCTTGGCGTTGTTGACTTGAGACAAGGCCAGGCCAACATCCACCGCATACTGTGGAGACACTTGTTGTGCCCTCCAACTGGCTGTACCCAGTACTCCACGAAGGAGTGAAATCTCTTTCGGCTCGAGTGGTAGATGAGCCTGCTTCTTACGATCAGCGTCGATCTCGTTCTCCGTGATGAATTTGTTCGTGTAGTCGTAGAGGTCCAACGTGATCGAAAAATCCTTGAAATGGCGGACGCGTAGTCCACTGAATTCAGCCTGGCCGGAAGTCCATGCTCCCCATCGGTAGAGGTCCTTGATGGCCTTCTCCGCGTCTTCGTACAACTTCGACGTCTCGTCGCCACCGATGATGAAGTCATCCACGTGGACGCCAATGATACCCTTCAGCTGGTTATTGGAGTCCAGCAAAATCCACACGCATTGGTCGGTACGTAGTTGTCGCCAACCTCGGTCACGAAGTTTGCGTGAGATGTCAAGCCACCATGCTCTCGGAGCTGTTGTCAATCCATAGAAAGACTTGACCATCTTCAAGATCTGCGAAGGACGCCCAAGTTCATCAGGAAAAGCATGAGCCTCTTCCGTAGGAACCTTCACATTCAGACTCTCGAACTCCTCGCTCGCATCGGTCTGGAGGAAAGCTGAACTGACGTCGCCGAACTTGAGCTTGAACTTGCGCTGTGCACACACCTGGAACAGCATATTGCGAGCCAGCTTCCCCAGCGTAGGCGCCGCCGTAGCGAGATCCGTCAGGCTCGGGTGCTGGTAGCCCAAAACGACTAGCCGAGCCTTCGACTTGCGTGCGCCACCCTCCTGGTACTTGTAGGTGAGAACCCAGCGCATGTTGAGCAATCGCGACTCGTCGATCTCAGTGAGCTCCTCCTGGGCGATCCGCTTCAAGACCTTGGTCGCAATGACTTGGCTGATCTCCTTGCACATCGCCTCGTCAAACTCGAGCTGCTGCCCTGGCGCCAACTTGGAATAGGTGACCTCTGTCGCCTTGCCGTCGCCAAGCCTCTTGGAAAGCCAGACCGTAGAGTCTTGAAGGAAAGCTCCAATGTGAGTGAAATCGGTCGCGACCTCGATAGCTTCACGCTCGATGGTCGTGTCCTTCAGGTAGACCACGGACTGATTGTGGAGGTTGTCCCAGGCCTCCAGGTACTTGACCTCGTCCACGAAGTCGCACGTCATGAAATCCATCTCACCGAGCTTGATGCGCTTGG